TTTTCTCAATCTTCTCCACTGATCTCACAACTTGGATAAGTCTTAACACACAGAGCTACAAAAGACACAATGTTGGACAATATGTGCACAGTTGTAACTAGGGTTGCCCACTAATAGTCGACTAACCGTTCGTCGACCACAAGAGGCTTGGTCGACCAAAATTTTATTAGTCGCAGATAAAATAAATAAATAAATAAAAATCCACATTGGCGAAGTCACGCAGATCGTTAAGGGCTGGTCTACTGTATGTGGTAGTACATCGGGCAGGACATCCAAACACTTGCCTATCATTCATCGACCTCAAATATGGCTTATCATCTGAAATATGTAAGTATTAGCAACTTAACACGGCCGCTCAATCTAATGTTAACCTAGAGAAATGTGCGCTGTTCAAGTGTCTGTGCGGAGTGTGGAAGCTGAACAGTAGCGCTCACTGCAGGATAGATGGAGTCACCGGTGCGCTCATTTGCTCTTAAAATACTCCCTCATTTTTGGTCATACAGATAAGAGATATACATCTCTCGAATCTGTAAAGACTTATTTGTATGCACTCCCAATAACAACATTGCACTTTTGTAAAATAATGAAAGTAAACAGGATGTGCTTTCTGCCATCTCGGTCTGTGAACTTGAGCGCGAAACTCTGTGTAAACTTACATTACAGACATGAAAAATATAGCCTATCTATAGAGAGCGAAATGTCTACTTTCAAGTGAACCAATTCAAATGGGAAACAAATATTCTCAGATTATGTAATCCGTATGAAACATGCATACAGGCGCATTCACTACTGCGGAGATGACGAGTCAGTGTTGCAGAGTTCATCTCTTAATCCAAGAACAAAGAAAGCACTATATCAATGAATTATTAAAATGTTAATGCAGCCTCCTTACTGTTTTTCCCTGACACATTAATAATCATTATTTCTGCTGGTGCTTGAGAGCTTATTAGGCAATGTAGGCAATTAAAGGCTCATTGTTATAATTTAAATTGTTTATTAATAAAGGTGCGATTAGTCGCCTAATGCTTCAAATGAAAGACTAGTCGACCAGACAAATCTTTAGTCGAGTCAGCCATACTTGTAATATAGCATTTTAAGTTTTAACACCATAACTTACCTTCTTTTTTTGAATATCATCTTGCTTGGATAGCTGGGTGTCTATAGCTTCAATAACTGCATTCACAGAGGATCTCAAACTCTGTACATGAGAGGAAGATACTTAGATAATGACTAAAATATGGCCAATCCAAACGTATTCACTGATGTGTTAAGCACTTACCAGCACCTCTTCGCGTAACTGGCCAAGAGGGACAGAGAGCTGATTAAGAGCTTTATCCATTCCAACCTAAAACACAGATACAAACAATAAGCCTACAAAGCATTTGACAAAAATCAGGATGCTCTAGAATAAAACAAAGCACACGGTCTTCGGTGACACACCAGTTCTACTGAAAATGTTGTATGATGTTCTAAAAATGCAAAGACTCACAAGATTTGTGGACAGGTTAACGAAATCTGCATAGTCTTTATTGATGAGCTCAACCATGGCTGTTTTGAGAAGTCTGTAATATTGCTCCAGATCTTCCCGCATCTCCTCCAGCTGGACACGCTTTCTGCAATCGGCCACAAATTTGTCCACGTCGAAGTCATCCTGCATGGAAATGTACAAATATTACAAATCAAAATGCCCCGAGACAGAAAGGTGTCAAATAATGTCAAGCACACTAAGAAACTGGAAAACAGTCATGGGATGCTTTTAAAGAGAATATTAAAAACATCCTTACAAACAGTCTGAGCTTCCATTAACACTCTGTCCTGTTTTGGGGCTGAGAGACGCCGCAACCATTTAAAATACATTAAAGTATCAAGCTGACATTACATAATCACGATAACTGATTATGAACATCAATATAATTTCAAATTGATTACATTCTCCACTTGTCTTCCATGTAAAATGTTATATTGTGTATGTCTGATGGTCTTTGAGACCCCAAACGATAAGGTTTACTGGTTGAGAAAGTTCACTCATTTTTTTTTATCTACAATATGATTTGATCCGTTCAAAAAACGACATTAAAGTAACAGTCACATTTTTACAGCATGGATTTGTGATGGTTAAAACTTTAATAGTTAATGTCCAATAGGTTTTGTCTTAATCAATTGAACATATTAAAAGCACATGAAAGGAACCATAGATTGAATTACTATTATCATTTGTAACTGTACATCACTGGGGTCTCTGGGGTCCCAAACATAACGTCGGTAAAGTTAATCTAAACACCGTTAAAAACACTTGCTCAGGCAATACTTAAAATAGAAATAAATCACACAAACTAAATATAAACAACTAGTTAATCAAGATAGTTACTGCACAGCTGAATACAGCTCTATTTTCAGTTGATATTTTACTAACAGCTCACTCACCTTCATAAATTCGTCTTTGTCGAAACTCAAAGAATCGGGTCCCTTTGGTAAGGTCATCATTCTTTTAGGACGGGCCACAAACAAAATAATCTGCAAATGTATTTGTTGAAACGTGAAGATTATTTGCTACATTTCGTTCAAATGACAGAGTAATCGATTCAACTTCCGCAAACATGGCACACGCTAACGAGTGGGTGGAAAATACAAAACCCTTCAGTATCCGAAAGAGAGAATATCTGGGTATAGCGCCCCGATTGGCTGCCAGCGGTACTGCAGCTGTACAAATATTACAAATCAAAATGCCCCGAGACAGAAAGGTGTCAAATAATGTCAAGCACACTAAGAAACTGGAAAACAGTCATGGGATGCTTTTAAAGAGAATATTAAAAACATCCTTACAAACAGTCTGAGCTTCCATTAACACTCTGTCCTGTTTTGGGGCTGAGAGACGCCGCAACCATTTAAAATACATTAAAGTATCAAGCTGACATTACATAATCACGATAACTGATTATGAACATCAATATAATTTCAAATTGATTACATTCTCCACTTGTCTTCCATGTAAAATGTTATATTGTGTATGTCTGATGGTCTTTGAGACCCCAAACGATAAGGTTTACTGGTTGAGAAAGTTCACTCATTTTTTTTATCTACAATATGATTTGATCCGTTCAAAAAACGACATTAAAGTAACAGTCACATTTTTACAGCATGGATTTGTGATGGTTAAAACTTTAATAGTTAATGTCCAATAGGTTTTGTCTTAATCAATTGAACATATTAAAAGCACATGAAAGGAACCATAGATTGAATTACTATTATCATTTGTAACTGTACATCACTGGGGTCTCTGGGGTCCCAAACATAACGTCGGTAAAGTTAATCTAAACACCGTTAAAAACACTTGCTCAGGCAATACTTAAAATAGAAATAAATCACACAAACTAAATATAAACAACTAGTTAATCAAGATAGTTACTGCACAGCTGAATACAGCTCTATTTTCAGTTGATATTTTACTAACAGCTCACTCACCTTCATAAATTCGTCTTTGTCGAAACACAAAGAATCGGGTCCCTTTGGTAAGGTCATCATTCTTTTAGGACGGGCCACAAACAAAATAATCTGCAAATGTATTTGTTGAAACGTGAAGATTATTTGCTACATTTCGTTCAAATGACAGAGTAATCGATTCAACTTCCGCAAACATGGCACACGCTAACGAGTGGGTGGAAAATACAAAACCCTTCAGTATCCGAAAGAGAGAATATCTGGGTATAGCGCCCCGATTGGCTGCCAGCGGTACTGCAGCACGACTATAACGCATAACCAGTGATGATAACTAATTTACTAACAAATTATTGCAAGCTAAGTGAACACAAGTATTTTATGCTGCGAAAAACACACAGTGTTGTATTCCTCTGTAACCGGTGTTATGATACAATAAAAACCAGTGGGAAACTACAGAGTGAAAAATTACTAGAGGCTCAAAAAGACTAGAAAGCGGCAAGCACTAAAGTAACATAATTTAATGTTTTTACTGTCAATCTTTCAATCTTGTATTATCTTTGCTTCGTTCTTCTAAAAAAAATTGACATTTAAAATTTTATGATACAAATGTGAATATGAAAAACGTCTAACTGGATCGCATTTCATGCTATTGTAGATTTAAACTGGAAAATATGAATACACCCACAAGCAGTGTTGGGAAGGTCACTTTGGAAAGGTAATAGGTTACAGATTACAAGTTACCCTATTTCAAATGTAATAAGTAGTGTAACTATTTCAATTACTTAAAGTAATGCAACTGATTACATTTGATTACTTTTCTAAATTTCCATCAATTGTTTTCAACTGTTAATCATTTTGAAACATTTAAAGCAGGCAGGGTTAACCTTACTAACCGCACTCAACACTGATTACTGTCAGACTTTCACAATTCTGCATCACTTGAATTAAGATTATAATCATTTTATTTTAAACCACAGACACCACAAAATTAGACTTTAGCACTTCTTTTTACTTTGAGATCGATCTGAGGTTAAATACAGATTTAAAATCATAGCAAGAAATAGTTTAATAGCTATGATACTGTTTTTGAAATCAAATCTGTGCAAAGTTATGACAGGAAACACATGCTAACAATGCTTTGGAAAAAACAGTTAATATTAAAAAAAGAAGGCATATACATAAACCCAAATAGGAATTAAAACAGTTATTGAAGAAGAATGTGTTCTATTCTGTGTCCTAAACTCCTGAAACACTGGTGTCTCATATTTTAGAGCAGTCAGTGCAATTTGGGAAAGAAATCAATCTAATCTGTATGTGTATGATAATATTCACATGCAACCCCTTTTGTAACCGTTAACATTTTCATAAGTAACTATTTAATTAGGCTACACGTTTTTCCCCTCAATAACCGTAACAAATTACAGTTACATTTATTTTATAATTAAATTACGTAATTCCGTTATTACTCCCCAACACTGCCCACAAAGCATTCTAACACTGTGGCAGAGCAAATATAATTCGTGTCTCTACATCCATGATTCATTCAGAGGTTAATCCCATTGGACAGTGCAGGGAGACCGAGTCAGGTGATTTCCAAGGAAGCGATTCATTCAGTCATCCTCCACAGAGAGGGGAGTCCGCCCAACCCGGATGCACAGAGCGTCTGTGGGGCGGTCAGCTGTGGGGTTCAGCCGGTTTTAGCTCGCAGGATTGGGGGTATTTCAGCACCAGAAAGGACGGACAGCTCCCGCGGCGTTCAGCTTTGTTCCCACGCCGCTTCTGAGACCCGCGCCCGCTGCATCTCGCTCTGAGGACCGCGACGCAGAGGGGCTCGGTGGAGCAGACTGCATGCCGGATTCGACGCTTTTAAGGAGGTCATTTGCATGCGGAATCACGCCGGGTGCAGCAGCTCTACGTCGGGACTGAGAAACGATGGCGGAGTGTGGAAGGAGGGGACTGTCGCTCCTCGAGGAAGCGCGATCTCGCTACGAGAGCCTGCAGATTTCCGACGATGTATTCGGGGAGTCGGGAGACGACAGCAGCGAAAACCCCTTTTACAGTACGACGGGAGACTCCAATTCGGATAACTACACGGAGACGAATCCGGACGATGCCAGAGCAGGTAAAGCGAGGAGTCAGAGCTGCGGTCCCCCCGGATCCGTCTCCAACGGCCAGGCGCAGGAGGAGGGCTGGAGAGACTCGCTACAGGACCTCAGCGTGGCCCACTATCAGGACACGCATGGTAAGTTGGTCTAATGAAGAGCGATCCTCATGTAAATGCAATGCAGCTTCATCATCCTTGAGAGGCCTGCATGCTCGACGAGTAATTAAGCTCACAGATGGGACTCTTTGATGACTACATTGGTTTACTTTGATCTCTCTCATCAGATGGCTCCAACAGATGACACAATTCCTTCAAGTATGGATCAGGGGTGGTTATTATTAACTGGCTCTTTGAAATCCTGCTCATAGCCGGGGGAAGAGAAAATGGGAAATGAGATTGCAGGCCAAATTTTAGGGTTTCAGTCCAGTTGAGGATGCTTCCAGTATCTAATCACTGCCAGACTCAGAGCAGCTGTGATTATGATTATGATTAGCTCTGTATCAGGGCAGGAGGGTCATTTGCATAGTCGGATGAGACGAGGCTCTCATTTCTGAGAAATTCACATTTTAAAATGGTAAGATGGCAGCATTTAGAGGAGATTTAGACTTGGTGTAAATGCTTTCTTATCAAGTGATGTACTATGCACATATTCAGCAAGTGGCCATTAGAGGGAACAAATAAGTAAAGACTTATGAGAATAAGGACAAAGAAAGTAAACTAAACCATGCACAAGTCAGACCCAGTAGTTTATTGTAGGATACAATCCTTAACATTCATGTCATGCAGTCACCAGTTTGAATTAGTATTCAATTCACTGTCAGTGTAGGTGGCTTAATCTCATTTTTTAAAGGATTTTAATAATGCCTTTCATGCAAAGTGTCACCACATTTTATCCAAGCTCACGACTGACTCACTGTCTAGACTTTTATGCCATAGACAAACACTAATTTAGTCATTTTTATGAACTCAGTTTACCTGGTAAATTTTGCATGACTTATCAGTATAAAGATGCTTGCCAGTCAAATGCTTGTGGATCCATTGCCTACCCAGCAATCTAAAACAAATGCAATAAAATACAAAACAAATAGGGTATGTTGCTTAATGGTTTATTCATTTAACATGCTGTGCATGTGTCGGAACCGATTTGGACAAATTTAGCATTATATCACTTGCTCACCAATGGATCCTCTGCAGTGAATGGGTGCCGTCAGAATGAGAGTCCAAACAGCTGATAAAAGCATCACAATAATCCACAAGTAATCCACACCGCTCCAGTCCATCAATTACCGTTAATACATTAAAACGTTAAAACAGTTAACTAATACATTCAATTCAAATGAATATATTAAAGTGCCAAATGTAAAAGATTTTGTGATGCCATCGTTGTTTAGCCGTTTTCCATGTCTCACAAAGTATTAAGTGAATGGTTTTCTAGATTCTCTCACTATGAAATGAAATAATATCAAATGAAATGATTCATGACTGGAGTTTGACTGTTCAGTTGTACAAAATATATATAAAAAGATATATTGTGAAATATCCTGAATATAGACTCCTGTAATGAATGAATTGGAGAGAGAAAGAGAAGGGCTCTTTTTCGATTTCAGCCACACAATTTTGAAGGTCTATATTTCTCTCTGAATACATTTCTCTGAATATATTCTCTCTTTATTTCACTCAAGTTAAAGTGACCCAAGAGAATCTTTAAATGACACATGTTTGAGTCTGTTTTTAAATGTCATAAAAAGAGCTTTTATTGCACAAATATGGGAAATGAAAGAATGATGTTTAATGAACCAAAACATACTGAGAAATACCATGATAATGTTTTAGAAGAAAGTATCCTAATCTGCACGTAATATTTTCTTGTTTTGGTTTGAACGTTTTCCAAATTGAGTAGATGACATTTTGATAAATGACAGATCTTTCCGTCGTGGTTGCTCAGAAAGTTCTGTCTGTCACCATGGGGGGAAAATGGGCCATCTGGTTGCTGCCTTTGCTTTGGCACAAGCTGCAAAATGATGCATGAAAGATGCACAAAGTCACACAACAGACATTTTGCATGGGTCATTTAATAAGATGCGACACTTGTGGACACTGACAAACAATGCTTCATCAGAGCGAGCTGTCAGTACTGTTTGTATAAGGCAAATGTCTGGCACAACACTCTAGCCTGACTGTGATTCTTATATAAGGTTTATATTATTTAGGTCAACATAACGCACTTTGGGCTCCTGCTTACATCCTTCAGACTTTGTGTTAAAGCATGTCTTCTAACACATCTCGAGTAATATGTAGAATTATAGAAAGATAAACCAAGGCACAATAAAGAGCTATAAGCTATCCTTCATTTTGCCTACAACAGATCTTTGTCAAACCCAACAGTTTTGTGACATGATAGTTAAACTGAGACACAAAGCTTGGACTGTTTGAGGGCCATATGGTGTGATTCTGCACCTGCTGTGAGATCTAAAAAAAATAAGATTGATTTATATCAGCTTGCTTATTTGTTTAAAGGAGGTGTAGAGAAGGTACAGGGACTGCTGGTGGTTCTTCTTAATAATTAATCTAGGAAACTGTGGCACACCAGCAGCTGTTCTCCTGGAAGACTGACTGTAGACACAGAGATAAATAAATACATTTTGATGTTCTACAGAACTACTGGGTGTGGAAAGAAAACCTTTTTGAACACCGCTATTATATAAAATACCGCTGGAGCACTTTAAACATTAAACTTAAAAGAGGACAAGTTTTTTAAACCATGTTTATTTTATACTTTAATTGAAGCATAGTTTTCTTTCAAATAAAATACAGCAGTACTGTACATTGGTATGTTGACTTCATGCATTTTAGATGTGATATGGCCATTATCTGGATTAAGCTACAGAGTCATACTCTATTACATAACACTTTGATTTAATATCATAACAGATTTTAAGCCAGATACGAACATATAACTGTTTGCTCTATCAAGTTAATGATATACTATTTTTTTAACTAGTAAGACCAGCATGAAATTAATTTTCTAATTGTCTATTAATTGGCTAACGGTTTAAAAATATTTACAATATTAAAATACATATAGGCCTATATATTTTGTATAGAGTAGACCTTTACATAAAATAATTTTGGGAATTTAAAATGTCTGACTTTTTTATCAAATTCAATATAATTATTATGCATGCAATACAAAGTATAATAATGACCAGTTACAAGATACACATTTTAGCTTATACATTCATATAAATTATAAGTCCATGAATGCACTGTGTGTCAACTACCTATTTTTAGCATACTGGGCAAAATCTTAATATAATCAGCAACTTTGTGAGATTTTTCTTGAGATGTTTTCTCTCTCTCTTACTGATCTTCTTTTGTGTTTGGTAAGTAGTTTATACAAAAAGGCACAGATGAATGAACATAATACACTGTACAATGGACTTTATCCTGGGGGAATGTTTGCATTTGCTTTACAAGCTTCTTCAGAGCCATAATGGGAAATGAGCTTCTGGTTGAATAGCAGCTGTTATGGTTAGGTTAAGATGTGTGTCTCATATATATATATACAGTGGGTACGGAAAGTATTCAGACCCCTTTAAAATTTTCACTCTTTGTTATATTGCAGCCATTTGCTAAAATCATTTAAGTAAATTTTTTTTCCTCATTAATGTACACACAGCACCCCATATTGACAGAAAAACACAGAATTGTTGACATTTTTGCAGATTTATTAAAAAAGAAAAACTGAAATATCACATGGTCCTAAGTATTCAGACCCTTTGCTGTGACACTCATATATTTAACTCAGGTGCTGTCCATTTCTTCTGATCATCCTGGAGATGGTTCTACACCTTCATTTGAGTCAAGCTGTGTTTGATTATACTGATTTGACTTGATTAGGAAGCATGACAGAACCATTTGTTCTTGAAAATAACAAACAAAAATATGAAAAATGTACATTTTCTCAAGACAATTTTTACAACAGATTTCCTTAAATCAGAATCCTTACAGTTGTTTACTCACAGTTGTATATTGCGCTCAAATCAATTACACACTCTCTTGCTTTGGGGTCATTAGGCCACTGTGGCACTGAGTAAATGTGGCAAGTGCTTGCCAGTGCTGTGCTTTGGGGTTTCTGTCACTACAAAAAAACACATACTGTAAGGGCAGCATACTTTTATTTTTGTCTGTTATTTATTAGTTTAGATCATTTAAGATCAATACACTTTCACACAAAGCAACACTGTAAATGTACTTATTTCACAGTGTAAGTTAATGTACCATGGAACCCATCTGCTATAAAGAGCTTAAGTTAGACGGAGACACATTTTCATTCTTAGCTGTTTTCTCCGTTTATGTGTGGGCTGCTTGGATTGACGAAATGTCCATTAGTGGAAGTGGAGTGAAAGATAATAAGGGAACAAATTAAGCTTTTTGTGAGCCACTTTCTACAACTTTTTGTCATGAGCTGATAAGCTCAATCTCCGCAGCTCAGTGTTGATGTACCATACGCTCATTAGTTGTTACTGAATGCTCCCTATTAGGTAGATGGTGATAAGGGTCCTGATAAAAGTCATTAGATGTTCAACTGTGCATCTAGCACCCAGCCTATAAAGTTAAAGGGATAGTTCACTCAAAAATGAACATTAAGTAATCGTTTTCATGTTGTTCCAAACCTGTATGACTTACTTTCTTCTGTTGAACACAAAAGTTTTTAATTCTATGGACAAATCAGAGCAACAGCCTGGTAAAATCATTCCTGGCTAGATAAGAAATGAACAAATTAAAATACTATTCTGTTAAATTTAGCTTTTATTTTGCAGGTCCGACACAGAAAATGCCGGCCACTGCCACGGCCATGGACTTCTTCCAGCTGTTTGTCCCTGACAACGTCATTCAGAACATGGTGACCCAGACCAACATGTATGCCAAGAAGTACCAGGAGCGCTTTGGCAGCGATGAAGGATGGACCAATGTGACGCTGGCTGAGATGAAGGCCTTTCTGGGCTACATTACTTCTACTGGCGTGAACCGTTGCGAGTCAGTGCTGAGCATCTGGAGCAGTGGATTCTTCAGTAACCGCAGCATCGCGCTCAAGATGAGCCAGGCACGGTTCGAGAAGATCCTCAAGTACTTCCACGTCGTAGCCTTCCGCTCCAGCCAAGGTGGCAGTCAGGGCCTCTATAAGATCCAACCCTTCCTGGACTCTCTCCAGCAGAGCTTCGCCTCGTCCTTCAGGCCCTCACAGACACAGGTAAAGATCGGACTTCAGTTCAGTGTAGAAATCACTCAATAGGCAATCAGCAAGAACCAATATGTTTAAGGTACAAAAAGAAACTACACAAACTAAATCTTCAGATCAACTTTTTGGAAACTAAGACTAGCAAACATATACTTATTCAATTTCTGTGCCAGTAGAAAGTGGGTTTGGGACTGAAATCAGAGCACGTTCTGCTGTAATTGGGAGAGCCTGGAGTCCCGTCACATGTCCCCAGGCTGTGAGCTTTATGGTGCCATTGAGAGGGTTGAAGGATTTTTTATGTCTGCAACTTTTCAGATCTGCTGAATGCAATACTCAGTTGTATTTTGAATCGTAATTAGTAACATACATAGACTGAAAACTAATTAGTAACATCTGCTCTGAAACACTACTGTTAAAGGCATGAATGCCTCAGGCCCTTAAAGACATTTTGAGTTATTCATAAGCTCAGAAGTCAACATTTTGACATTTATTCTGTGTACTCTTCTGTAAGTCCCCCAGGTTTCAGTTCTTCATGTATCCAGCTTAGTTTTATTACGTGTCTGGTTTGGAACTTAGGATTTCATGAAACCATTTTAATTAAATTATTAATAAATATTTAATTAAATTATTTATAATTTTAATTACACCTCTGTTCAAAAGTTTGGAGTGAGTCATATTTTTTGAAAGAAATTAATGCTTTTACTCAGCAAGGATGCATTAAATTGATAACAAGTGACAGTAAAGACATTTATAATGTTACAAAAGATTTCTGTTTCAAATAAATGCTTTAGAATAATTTTTTTTTTTTTTAAATCATGGTTTCAACAAAAATATTAAGCAGCACAACTGTTTTCAGCAGTGGTAATGATGAGAAATGTTTCTTGAACAGCAACTCAGTATATTAGAATGATTTCTGAAGGACCATGTGACACTTAAGACTGGAGCAAAGGCTGCTAAAAATGGTTTTAAACTGTAATATTTTTTCACATATTACTGTTTTTGCTGTTTTTTTGATCACATAAATTCAGCCTTGGTTGGCATAACAGACTTATTTCAAAAACATTAAAAAATCTGACTGATCCCAAACTTTTAAACAGTATACATATACTGATTACTTAATCAAACTAATTGCAATTAATTTAGAGAAAAGCTTCTAAATAAAGACAAACTGACATTACATTCTTATCACTGTAAAAAATAAGTGTAATTTTAACTGTAAAATTTTGTAAAAACGCTACGGAAAAAGACTGTTAATAGGTTAACAGTAAGTTCACATACTAAATACAGGGAAAAACTATCTAAATATCTAACCAGACATTTCATGTAATTTTACAGTAAAATACTGTTAATTTTACAGTTTTTAGAAGTAAAAATAACAAATCAATGTATAATTCACAGTCAAAAACTGTAAACTGATATTCCCAGAATTCCCTGCATGACACTCCACATTTGAAAGTATTTTGTTTAAATAATCGTGTTTTTTTTAAAGTTTTTGTTATTAGTTATGTATATTTGGGCTTTATGTTACATCTTCTGTTGTTTAATGAAAGTTTAATGCATTATTTAAGTATCATGTATGTTACCATGATGGTGTTTTGTGTTTGCATGAATGACTCTGTGCACCTTCTATATATTATTATATACTTCTGCTTGTGGCGAAGCTACTTGTGATGAGCTTTGATTCTTCATGTGGCTTTCTCTTTTACCACCTGCATTATTATGGTGGTTGTCAGTATGTTAAAGGTACAAAACAGATGTTAATAGCAGTGTGCATTGTTGAATTGACTGGTTTACATTTAAATTTTCTTGTTTGTAAATTACAGTTTTATACTGTAAAATTTGTGTTTACAGCTTTTCTGTATTTTTTTTACAAAATTATTCTGGCAACCACAGCTGCCAAAATTATTTTGTAAAAACTACAGAATTTTTTTTACAGTGCACATTAAATGCATAAATTTTTTTATTAATTGTACTACGTTAACATATCAAATTAACAGCCCTATTTTAAATCAAAATTGCTGTAAATAAATATGATAAACAATGAAGTCAGATATCTCATTCAAAGTGCTATAAGCTTATAGACAGTAATTGCCAATTCTGTTAATCCAGTACCCCCGAATCTCACTTTAAATGTAGTCTTCTGTTAGATAAAATAACAATAATCATGCACTCACTGTGTCAGACATTCAAATGTCAGGCTAACATCGGGGAGTTTACTGTTAAATGACAAGAAGACTTCTAAATGAGCACAGCTCTGCCAAGTAAGCCATTTCAACACCCTCCTACATTTGTTCTGTTTTTTTCTCTCTCTCTCTCTTCATTTGGAAAATGAGTTTGGATTCACTGATCTGGGCTTCTGCTTTCAGATAGGGGACATAAAATTGGAACTGAGCTGTCAGAAGTAATCTTGAAATATGGGCTAGAATCTGAGCAGTCCATTATTCAGCAAAAGTGAAACACATTTATTACATTCGGTCAAATTAAAGGCCCGATATACCATTAGAATAAATGATTTGTGCTTCCTGACTCAAGACATTGTTTCTCAAACAGTATGAATAATTCACAGGGTATAATGCATCTCAGCACATTCATCTTTTAAACAGCCATCGGGGATTTCTTTTAGTAACTAGCTTTTGGTGCATTTTCCCCCTCTTAGAATGTGAGAATACACTAGAACATAGGCTACATATATTGCTTGATTGAGTATAAGGGAAAGTGTTACATACCATATACAGTTAGATAGGCAAATTAAATAAAATTTTAATTTCCTTTGAGAAAAGTAATTCTCCTTTTGTGCTGACGGTTTGGTGCTAATTAAGGTCCTTTGAACTCCTGCCCTTTGAAATCCCCATTAATTACTGTTCCTACTGAAGTGCTTTCGAGATATTTTAAGGTCCTTTTAGTACTTCAAGTAAAATTAATAATCTGCCATGGTGGAAATTGTAGGTTGTCAACTTCTACATTTACAACTTATTCATATTAAAGGGATAGTTTACTCAAAAAAATTAAAATTTAGTATCCTCATTTAAGTAACCAGCATCATGAGGGTTAGCAAAACCTTTTGGTGAACTATCCTTTTATGCTTGTCATTAACCTGCATTTCTACCAATAGAATAAACATCAGCTCCTAAATCAAAAATTTGCGTTTTATGAGGCCTTGTGTGACCCATCTCAGAGACACCCCTCAATTACTCGCCTGCCATGAGTAAACTAAACACCATCTGCATCTCTCAGCTCTCCCAGTGCCATGGTTATATCACCTTGACCCACTTTGACTGCCACAGTGTGGGTTTGGTTCTTATCCCCTATTGGCAAACAATAAGGCATTCAGCACAGCCACACATGCCCCGTTTAACTACTTCAGCTCTGTCAGAGGGTTTACAGAGTCAAACACTGCTTATTATGATATCTATAGGGAATGTAGCTGGTTAGTTTGAACAGATCTATCATACCTGACTGGACAAGCCAACATCTTTTCTCAGGATTTCAGCGTGCATCTCCTGCATGGAACATAAAAAGCTTGAAAAGCAACTTTGCAATGACAAATGATGCGTTTGAAGTGTTATCATGCTGGAGTTTTCAAATGAGACATGCTGCTTTCCCTCAGGTCCTCCATGAGCCCTTGATTGATGAGGACCCCGTGTTCATTACCACATGTACAGAGAGGGAGCTGCGCAAGAGGAAGAAGAGAAAGTTCAGCCTGTGGGTGCGACAGTGCAGCTCCACTGGTTTCATCTGTCAGGTGAGTGCACAGCGCAGGAGGATATCACCCAAACATTTATCAACTGCCCCAAGATGTTTCATCACATTGTTTCTAATGAGAAAGACGGCAAAAATATTAATTTATCGAAAATATTTCGTTACTCTGTTGCCACAAACAAAGCAATTTTACACAATTCTCTGATATTTGTTAACGCAAATAAATTAGACTACAGAGAAGCACATTACCAGATGGAATCAATAAAATATCATTTTTAGAGTCAACAAAGAAAAAGAAAGTCCAGACCACTTAACATAATTGCACTCTTCTCTTGGTCTGTGCCTATTAGAGAAAATAACTGCTTTGTGCCTAGGGAGTGTAACGTTTATTATTATTTATTAGCTCTAAAAAGGGGAAT